CTCTCCCACCACAGGGACCCTAGAACAGTGTCTGCTTAGGGCTTTTTGGAACTAATCAGCAGGTCAGCTGGTAATGTCCCTCCTTCCTTACAAATGCTTTACAAAAAGCTGTTTAAGAAGATCTTGAACTAATGAGAGAGGCTTTGTTTTCTTGGTGGGCTGATAAGTTCTGTGTTCTGATAAGCTCCCTGCTGGCTTGCTCGCTTCAAAGGCCACAATCTGTCAGTGTTCAAGAGGGGACAGAGAGAGGTGTGAGAAATGACCCGGTTTGCAATTTATGGGACCTGTGAGTGCCTGTCAGTTTGCTGCAGACAGTACGAAGAAGCAGGGAGAGGGACACTAAAAAGCTTAGTACCATCAATAGATGCATGTACTCCACACAAACAGTTCTCCCTCCCCCCACCCTCCCTTGGCCTTAGAGTGCTAGCCATGGACCGGGGTCTGGCAATACTCCCCATTCCTTGAGCACTGAAGCAGGAAAAGCTTGTCAAGGGCTGCTTTCCCCTCCCCCTTCAGGCATACCCTGGCTGGGGACTGTGTAGGCCAGGGTAGGAGTTTAAACTCCTCCTTAATTCTGCATCCTGGTGGGCCTGGCCCTGCCCCTCACCAGTTCAGCACTATGGAAGGAAGGGAGGGCTACTCTAGCACCCTGCCCCCAACTTCAAACCTGAGCCACTGCAGGGATGTGCTTGTATTTCCCGATTCAAAAGCGAATGTCTATTCACTTGCAAATTGGTTCAATCTCTGCAGGTTAGACTAACCTGCAGAGATTGAATTAATTCAGGCTTGGACTTTCTGAATGTCTATACCTAGCCTTAGTGGTATTAGTGAACAGCACCAGTCAATAATCTCTGCTAGCTACCTGACTAGTCGTCATCATCAAATGACATATTCCTGTAGTTTTCACAGGAGAAGTGAATCTTGAAAAGGGACTAGGGGGAAGACAGGTTAGTAATTTGCATTAGCTTAGACTAAAAATCTAACAAGAAGCGTGGTTCTTATGATAGCTCAGCTAAGTCCAGACAATATCTTCAAAATTTACTACTTATGCTTCTAAATCCAATCCAGTCACTAAATATACAGAGTCCAGACCCAGATACCTCTGCTAGATGACTGGCTTTGGATTTGAGTCTGCATTTTGGTTTGCCTTGAATAAGAAATCCCAGTGTCCTATGAAGGGGCAGCATTGCCGCGTAGTCACTTGCCAACTTGGGCAGAAATAACAATTATTTGGTGTTTATAAAATATCTTTCCTCTAAAGAGCTCAAAAATATGAGTTATAAAAAAGGGATACTACCTCTTTGTATTATTGATGGAGAAAACATAATCAAAGAGATGAAATGACTTGTCCAAGGTTAGAACTTGTATTAAATTCCAAGCTCTGTTTCTAATAGTCCTGTGCACGGTCTACTGGAAAATACTGCCTTTCCAGTGTTCAATAAAGCATCATTCCTGACGAGTACTTGAAAAATCTCAAGTAGATTGAACAATGATTCTATGTAAAGGAAAACTGCAATTGTTTCCAAACAGGGCAGAAGTTGGGTTTAAATAGTGATGTTCATTGTCTGTAGTATCATAAAGAAAAGTTGATGACATAGCAGCAAGCAACCCAACATTCTGCAGATTAATTCAAAATGGTGATAAGCATTGGATCATTTGTTATAAATGGGAGTTGTAATTTCAGATGCTGACATTACCAAGATAAAATGCAGGGAAGATGCATGCCCTTATGTGAAAACTGACAATGGGGTTCTGAAAGGATTCAGCTTAACAGCTTGTGTCAGGTGATGAGGTTAATGAAAAAGAATTTGTTATTCAGGTCACTTAATGAAAATAACCTTGGGAGAACTTAGTACAGTCCTCGGGATAAAATAATTTATTCCTATTATACTTTTGTCATTTTAATATAGCCTAAAATGTAGAAGAAGCTGATCTAAACATGAGCTCAACCTGTCAGCACAGTGCAAATATACACTGGGAATAATTGCTGATGCTCAGCCTGTAGCCAGTGATAATTAATTGTTTTTTGCACCATCAGCAAAGGAGTTCTTTGCATAATGCCAGTTTTAAAACAGGAGAGTCACAAAGATCTCTGTTTGAAGAGTTTTGTGCTGGAGAAGCACTACAGAAAGTCACAAATGTGAAATTCCTACCTAATGCACAGTGTTAAATTTGGTAATGAAAAAAAGAAATACAGCAGCCCTTATTTTTTCTGTCTTCTGGCTATTGCTGGTTAGGTTTGTAGTACAGCTGTAATCAGAGGGGCCCACACTGCTAATATCTGGAACACTGTTTCAGGACAACTGGGTTCTCTTTTGTGCTCCGCCACAAACCAGCTATGTGAAGTCCAGCAATGTGCTTCCCTGTTCTGTGCCTCAGTTTCCTTTCTACCACCTCCCCACGTTGTCTGTTTAAATCAGTGACTCTCTGCCAGGGTTCCTTGAGATCCTTTCAAGGGTGCCATGCAGCATCAGCACTGTTAGGTGTGCAAACATGATTCAGAGATAAACTGGATATTTCAAATAGGAATTCAGGGTATTAAAAACATTCTGACCTGCGTGTGGGCCTTGAGTTCCTTGCAAGAGAAGAATTGCTGTATTATGCTATGAAAACTAAGAGCTGACATTTTCGGAGTGGTGCCTTGAGTCTAAAAAGGTTGAGAACCTTTTTGTAACTAGTGCTGGTTAAAGATTACCACCTGTTTGGTGTTTGCAGACTACCTAGCACAAGAGAACTGCAGTCTTGACGTGGGTTTGAAGACACTAGTAGGGTACAAATGAGGTTTGGGACCAGCCACTTAAAAATTTTCAGATCCTGGTCCATGTTCAGCTTCAGAAAAGCCTCCAGAGTCAGCCCCACTCCCTCAGTTTAATTTAATGAAAACCGTCTTTTCCTCTCTCAATGCCTGGCTTTTATTTTTAAAAAGCCCAAATAAATCCTTTTGCAGAAGTCTGAAAGTCTTCCCTTTACAGATCTATGTACAGTAAAGTTCAATCAAAGAAAGAGAAAATTAAACCTGTCACCTGACTCTATTAGAGTTGAAAGAAAGAAAAATTGTGATTCCTCTGAGGCACAGGGTCCAAGACATATTATAGCCAACAGAAGGAAAAAAAAAAAAGAACTCAGCAGTGCAGTTATGCATGCCTTTCATTTTAGGAGCGAGCTTATGGGAGATATAACCATGTGGAACCTGTAACTTCCATTTAACATTAAGAAAAATAATTCAACTGGTTGAGTGAGCAAAAAGCTCACAAAGAAAGCTTCCTGCCCATCTGTTTATTACTAGGAGTTTAACAAATACCTTAAAAAACCAAACACACACCCTTTCACAAATGGACCCTGGTTGAACTAACTCCCCTACCCCACAAAATGCCAGCCTGACCACTTCACTCCCACCCTTAATTCTCCCTGCTCTCTCCTGGGCCATTTTAGTACATTCTCTCCCTGGTGTCAGCCTTTAATTGCTTTCAATCAGGGGCCCTGCTTTGTTACAGCACAACTCTTTCCACCTGTGTGGCTACAGGCTTTTGAAGAATTAACACCCTAATTGTCTGTATCCAGGATGCTGCATTTACAAGCAAAGGGACTTCTGGTCTGATTGTGCACCTGCCTTTGTACCCATTTGGGAAATCATCACATATGGTGACTCATGGCAATCCAAGTTGCATGGTGTGGCTTTCTGCCCTGCTGAGGGACTGGGCTACCCCAGAGGCTTATGAGTCTGCCCCAGCCTTGTAACTACGGAAGCCTTTGGCCTAGATCGTTAAATGTATTTAGGCACTAAACTCCCATTGAAATCAGATTCAGCAGTCCTGGCTTCAGCCCCTGTGGCTTGCAACCCACACGTACCCTATAAAAGGCTTATAAACTGTTGTTCTTTAAGTGGATTGAGTAATGTTTCCTGTCATTAAAATCATTCTGACAATGGTTTCTGTGAAATGCCTTTGACAATTGGAAGGGGACATGTGCCTGCTGTTTACCAGAACTGGCAATCACACCTGGAGCGGTGGAATGTCAGCCACTAGGGTGAGAGCGGTGGGCACATGAAGTACAGTATGCTCGAGTAATTATTAACCCACAACAAAGAGAGCTGCCTATGCAGCATATGGAAACACACTGAGCAGCGGGGATATAAGAGCATTTCAGTCTAATTCTGCATTCTGCATATAGTAATAAGGCCCAACAGGGTGTGCATTAAGCTCATCTTTACAGAAGTGCACCAGAAGCTGAATAATATACACCCTGTAGCGGCTTATTTGTTGGAGACCATGGCTCATTAGTTTTGCATTTAATTTTTTTTTAGCCCTTTTAAAAAATCTTTTTCGAGGGCAGTTATGTAATGTATCCTTCCATGGAAAAGTAGTTTCAAGTCAAAGAGTAGGGAAAAGGCAAAAAGCAGCTTTGCTCAACTGGTGGGGAACAACACTCTGTGTCTGGAGGAACCCACTGCGTTAGGTCCTTTCATTCAGGCCTGGGTGCTGCTGTAGTACCAATTGCAAAAATTAACTGCAATATGTTGGTTGATTGTTAATTGTTAATTTGTTATTTTTCCCCTAGCGCTCGCTCTCTTTTATGTAAGGTTTCCATGACCTTTTCCTGTTCTGTGCCTTCTCTTAGAAACCCAGCTTTCAGCCACAATTTTGTGAAGGAGCACTCATTTTTTTTACTAAGTTCCCATATACGAATTCCCAAGAAATTAACTAATTTCTATGACAAAATGTAAGCTGAAGTGCCAAAACTGACTGTCCTAAGGGCAGCTGAGCACCTTTGGGGCAGAAAATAATTTTGCTTGAATAGCAAGTAAATAAGATTCTAAAATGCAGAACGTCATCAATAACCACTGTGTATTAGTGCATGGACTGCGTTTGGCACAGATAGATAGAAGCTCAATGCTCATTTTCTGGTCCCTAGAATCATAAACATTTACAGGAGTCATAGAAAAGTAGGGCTGGACAGGACCTCCATAAGTCTTCTCATTGCTATTTATTTTTTATGCGTAGGTCCCTACCTTGATGATGGACACGCAGTTTTCAGAATTCACCCCGGATATCACCCCAATCATGCTGGCGGCTCATACCAACAACTACGAAATCATCAAACTGCTAGTCCAAAGGCGGGTAACGATTCCGCGCCCTCACCAGATCAGGTGCAACTGTGTGGAGTGTGTCTCCAGCTCTGAGGTAGACAGCCTGAGGCACTCCCGGTCGAGGCTGAACATCTACAAAGCATTAGCCAGCCCTTCGCTGATTGCCTTATCGAGTGAGGACCCTATCTTGACAGCCTTCCGGCTGGGCTGGGAGTTAAAGGAACTCAGCAAGGTGGAAAATGAGTTCAAGGCAGAATATGAAGAGCTCTCCCAGCAGTGCAAGCGTTTTGCTAAGGATCTTCTGGATCAGGCGCGGAGTTCCAGGGAGCTAGAGATCATTCTTAACCACAGGGATGATCAAAGCGAAGAGCTGGATCCCCAAAAATGTCATGATTTGGCTAAGCTAAAGGTAGCAATAAAGTATCATCAGAAAGAGGTAAGTGGCATCTTATTGTGGGGGCTTTCCAAGGCCACGTGGTTTGGGCAAAATGACATGCTTCCAGGCTTATTTCATGTTTATCTAGGGGACACCAGGACTGGGCATCCAGTGAGCAATTTGGACCAAAAGGGGACTGTGTGCAAATGGGACTGCAAAAGCTGGGCAGTCTCAGTGGCAGTAGAAACGGATGACTGGGGAAAGCATGCTTTACATCATCCCAGTGGTACACAAGACCAGGTCCAGGACAGGACACTTACTGTCCAGGTGACTCTCACGGTGTCACTGACACATCTGTCTAGGGCAGATTTGAGTCTAATGTGAACTGAAACTGCCCCACTCCCCCTGCCTGTTCTCAAGAACTCTGCCAGTCCCAGCTGCCATTCCTGTGCCACCGTTCCTCAAAGGTCTTTGGATCTGAAGTGCCTGCTCTAGGCTCAATACCCTGCTTTCCTATCTGTTGTATTCTAATCACTCACCAACTTTATAGTCTGCTCTCTGCCGTCCTTTCACAGCATCTGATGAGGTGAACTTGGGGTTGTGCTGTGTGTGTGTGTGTGTGTGTGGGTATTGCTCTAATATATATATATTAGTTAGTCTATAAAGGTGTCTATTTTGTATGGCTGTGCGAAGCTTCGGATGCTGATTTGATTTGGCCTGATTCGGCAGCCAGATCTCTGAATCCAAATTGAATCAGGAGACCCTTTGATCTCTCCGAATCAAGGCTTCCAGTTTGATTCAGAGAGATTCGATGGTTTGGCCATAGGCACAGCTTTATGTGTTTTTTCTACATACATCAAGGTACCAGGCAGATCATGAACGCTGAGATGGTGGGGCAGATGAAGCATCCCACGGGAGCATGGTGGGGGGGGTCCCCTGTGCACTCAGAAGCAGACCTGAAAGTGGACCAGAAGTACTTCTGGTCCACCTCTGGGTCCACTGTGGAGCGCATGGGGGACCCCCTTGCCCCCCGGCTCGGCAGCTGGTGCCTCCTGGGTCTTGGGGGTGGGGGGAGGGCACCCAGGGTCCACTTCTGGGTTGGCCACCGAGCGCATGGGGGACCTCCCCTGTGCTCCTGTGGGACACTCCATCCACCCATCCATCACTGATTCTCCAAATCAGAATCGAATCTTCAGATATGGCCAACTCGAATCC